GGGCACAATGTGTGAAAAACCAAACTCACACTTCTGGTGGCCGTCCCATCTCCGTGTTGGAGATCAATCCCATCTCGATTCCCCGAAGCGGCGAGTTCAACTAAACGCCTTCCATACTGTTGGTGTTGGGCGAGGACGTCAACAAAAGTCCCATCTCCGTGTTAGATCATATGTTCCATCTGTTCGATTTCCATGGGGGCGGTGGGGTAGACCCCGAGTTAAAGCGTTGGCTCGTCGCGCCGAGACTGTGGGTGAATCCCCACATGGGTACAATGACGATGCAACATTTCTTGGTGTCCCCGCCGTGATATTGCTGGAATATTGCTATAAGCGGCGTTAAACCAAACTCAGTCAGTCAGTCAACTTCCATGTACAAAACTCCGTGAAGATCCGGGTTAGAATTGATCTTCAGTAATCTATGCTTGTTGTAAGTGGCGGCTATCGGGATCGGGTGGTCAGGCTCGCTGACATGGTTGACACCTGTCATCGGTTCCCAATTGCGTAGAACGACGCTCATACTGTTGATCACTACATTGTCTGATCCGATTATTTACAGACCGCCGCCATATAGCTGGAATATTGCTGTGTGCGGCGTTAAACAACAAACCAACCAACCATGTACAACATTGCGCGATATTTACAGGTGCTTGTATTTACGCTAATGTTGTCACGGAGTCTGTGATGAAATACTTGTACTGAATCCTACAGATCAAATTCAATGGCGTTCTAGTCCAATGGGCTGTGTGCTTGGTTTAAACGGATTGTTCGGTTTCGATTCCCTGTGGGAGAAGCCTCTGACTGCTGCTGTTGTACGATGGCGCCACACTGTGCCCGACAGGATATACCTTATACGTGGCGGTCTGGCAAGGCTCGCTTTCGGCGCCCGTCCGGATGAGGTTCAACTGTCTGTCTATACAGATCGGTGTCGATACATGCATTTAAGGCTGAGTATACGTGTTCGATATGCTTCTACCAGTCTCCAAAACAACGTGACGTGGGTCACTGAGTGTGTTCCACCCGCACCGGCTCACCTTTCTGCGCCAATTCACTGCGACTGTCATTTAGACTCGGCGTTTAGTACAGTTTATTCCCAATGTCATTCCTGAACGTTTTGTCAATGCAGACAACCCAGGAAGATATCTATTCCGCTGGGGATCCCCAATCTAGTAACTGTGTTACACAAAACGTAATGGAAATAGAAAGCACTCAACCGCAACGCAAATTTCGGTAGTACTTTAAATTATTTGAAAACTTCATTTTTCACGGCTAATCAATCTTTATCATGTGCGCTATTACAACATAGCGCCCGAGTTCGTTACAGTATTAAATGAAGCGTGTTTCGTTTTAAGCAACCCATTAAATGCAGGCGAATATTCAGTGAAGTCATATCTTGTATTTCTGCTTTGTTGAACACATAATGCGAACAGATGGGTCGTCTTTATCAGCGGTTGTGTTTTATTCCGCGGGTTAAGTGACTTTAGGCCAGGTTCACACGGAACTTCAACACAACACTCGCGCTGCCTTTCAAACCCAACTGCCGTACCTCAGGTGATGGTAGTCGTGCATGGCGTCCACTGGAGCCTACAGCAGAGGTGTATTGATATGTGGGCCATGGTGAATCCTTTGCGTTACCATGGAGACATGATAATGCCGTTTACAAACCGTTCTCGTGACTTCCGGTTCTTCAACTTATCACATGCATTAATACCTCGCCCTATAGTCATCACTTTATCACATGCATTAATACCTCACCCTATAGTCATCACTTTATCACATGTATTAATACCTCGCCCTATAGTCATCACTTTATCACATGCATTAATACCTCGCCCTATAGTCATCACTTTATCACATACATTAATACCTCGCTCTATAGTCATCACTTTATCACTTGCATTAATACCTCGCCCTATAGTCATCACTTTATCACATACATTAATATCCTCGCCCTATAGTCATCACTTTATCACATACATTAATACCTCGCTCTATAGTCATCACTTTATCACATGCATTAATACCCTGGTCTATAGTCATCACTTTATCACATGCATTAATACCTCGCCCTATAGTCATCACTTTATCACATGCATTAATACCCTGGTCTATAGTCATCACTTTATCACATGCATTAATACCTCGCCCTATAGTCATCACTTTATCACATGCATTAATACCCTGGTCTATAGTCATCACTTTATCACATGCATTAATACCTCGCCCTATAGTCATCACTTTATCACATGCATTAATACCTCGCCCTATAGTCATCACTTTATTACATGCATTAATACCTCGCCCTATAGTCATCACTTTATCACATGCATTAATACCTCGCCCTATAGTCATCACTTTATCACATACATTAATACCTCGCCCTATAGTCATCACTTTATCACATACATTAATACCTCGCCCTATAGTCATCACTTTATCACATGCATTAATACCTCGCTCTATAGTCATCACTTTATCACATACATTAATACCTCGCCCTATAGTCATCACTTTATCACATACATTAATACCTCGCCCTATAGTCATCACTTTATCACATACATTAATACCTCGCTCTATAGTCATCACTTTATCACATACATTAATACCTCGCCCTATAGTCATCACTTTATCACATACATTAATACCTCGCTCTATAGTCATCACTTTATTACATACATTAATACCTCGCCCTATAGTCATCACTTTATCACATACATTAATACCTCGCTCTATAGTCATCACTTTATCACATACATTAATACCTCGCTCTATAGTCATCACTTTATCACATACATTAATACCTCGCTCTATAGTCATCACTTTATCACATACATTAATATCCTCGCCCTATAGTCATCACTTTATCACTTGCATTAATACCTCGCCCTATAGTCATCACTTTATCACATACATTAATACCTCGCCCTATAGTCATCACTTTATCACTTGCATTAATACCTCGCCCTATAGTCATCACTTTATCACATACATTAATATCCTCGCCCTATAGTCATCACTTTATCACATACATTAATACCTCGCTCTATAGTCATCACTTTATCACATACATTAATACCTCGCTCTATACTCATCACTTTATCACATACATTAATACCCTGGTCTATAGTCATCACTTTATCACATACATTAATACCTCGCTCTATAGTCATCACTTTATCACATACATTAATACCTTGCTCTATAGTCATCACTTTATCACATGCATTAATACCCTGGTCTATAGTCATCACTTTATCACATACATTAATACCTCGCCCTATAGTCATCACTTTATCACATACATAAATATCCTCTATGTGCAGCAGTTTATATCTTACATTTATATATTCGCTCTCTATAAAGAAATGTATAACATACATTACTTTTTTCTCTCTATGTACTGCAGTTTATCTCTATTAACAACAGTTTATCACATGATACATTAATATCCCATCTCTATTAAAAGCAGTTTATCACATGATACATTAATATCCCATCTCTATTAAAAGCAGTTTATCACATGATACATTACTACCCCATCTCCTTTAAAAACAGTTTATCACATGGTACATTAATATCCCATATCTATTAAAAGCAGTTTATCACATGATACATTAATATCCCATCTCTATTAAAAGCAGTTTATCACACGATACACTAATATCTCATGTCTTTAAACACCAGCCTAGATTACAGCTCATCTGCGTGAGATTATACCAAATACCTAGTATATCAAATTCGCTTATTTGTCAGAAATTCTATTCATCCAATTTCTCAGACGTTAATAATAACAGATCCTTTAACTTGCAATATATCACCCACTTAAGACGTTTACATCTGAATGTAAGCCGTGGTTCTATCCGTAGTGTGTTGAGATTAATATCTTGGAAGCCAATAGCGGCAATCTGTGATCACATAAAGCGACTTGCAACGCTGAGATTCCTTGAAGTTTGTTCTTTGATGGTCTGAGGCTGACAAAGGTTACCGTTAGATCCCAACTTGGATTTTTGTAACGCTGTGTGGAGACTTGGCGACGCGACTGTCCGTCAATACACGACTATTGTGTTGAGTCACTTCTCTTCACAGTTACGTACGAGCTCCTGACGACGTCAGTAATCGAGTGTTGATGATCCAAGCTTACAGGCCTAGTGTCTTGTTACAGTACGATTGATAAAGCATTGCATTTTTTAAAACCTGAATGAACCTATAAGATTATGGAAACATTATGCAATGCCTTCCTTCACTTAAAGCCTCACTAAGCTCCGCTGATTCGTGCTCAGGTCCAGCTTAGGTGTAGTCATTGCAATCCATACCATGTGTGAGAGTGTATTGTTCTCTGTAGACCAATAAGTAAGTACTAGGTTTATATTGTTGATATGTCTTAAGTGTGTAGACAGTTTTGGGTTTGCAGGGAATTAGATAAACGCTACTGGGACTGCCAGCTAGCCCGAACGTATTAAGTCATTTTTTGAAACAATCCTTTAAACTCATTGTTGAAAAACATAATGATATTAACGCTTTCATGTGTGAGTGAGGTAGTGGTGTGTATTACAGCTTTTAATTGTTTTACTTATGTTTATGTCAGTGTCACGTGAGAATAAGTATGAATGAATGAATGAATGAATGAACGAAATCACGACTTCTGGTTTACTAGCGAAGTTGCAGTGAAGATTCTTACACAGTTCACAACGAGTGAGTGAGGTAGTGGGACTGTGTGTGTGAGTGAGATGTAGTGGGACTTTGTGTGTTTTTTACGGCTTATCAGTCACGGTTCATTTCAGTGTGGTAAGAAAAGTCGAGCACATTTAGCCATATGGTGACACCCACCCCACCCCACCCCAAACTCACACGAAGAGTGATAACAGACCAACATTCGAACCCACGAGCAGCTAACGCTGGCACTTACTTGCTTCTAAGACGTTGTAGTATCCGAACATCTACTTAAGAAATCTAAATGAGAGACATGTGTATGGCTCCAGCTTTCTCTCTTTCTGTTTCAGACTTAGTGCCCTTGGATCTACTGAAAGAAGCTGTTCCAACACTTGATCACATCCCCCCTGGTGTGAGTGTAGTATACGTCGCGAGCAGTCACGCCCATGCATTCCAGTTCACATCAGAAGCCAACCGACTGGAATTCAAAGCCAACAAGATTTTCAAAAGATGTGAATATTTCCCAGAGGAGTTCTCCATATTTATCGTGCTGAAACACACACAGAGACGTAAAAGACAGGAGTGTTTGTTTTCCTTGGTGGACGATAGAAGAAACAAGATTATTATATCCGTGAAACTGACCAAAGTTGCCCTAGTGTTTCAGTATGACGACAAAACGTTTCGTTTTAAAACGGATATATTCTCCGATGATAAATGGCACACACTTGGATTCAGCATGGCGGGTGATTCTGTTGTCATGACAACGGATTGCAGGAATCGGCGTCAAAGACAAGCGCGCCGGGCGTTCCCAGAATTCCTTCCAATGACAAATACCTCCTTCATTATCGGTGGATGTAAACGAAAAAGGACAATGTTTCAAGTAAGGGCACGCAGTTACACACTATTCCATAACTATTCTATTCCTTGTTTTGCTTTGTTAATAAACACTTAACAACGCTTAGAAGAACGGAGTGTGTTCATATTGTCATACGAGTTTTTGTGACTGACTGAGTTTGGTTTTACGCCGCTTTTAGCAATATTCCAGCAACATCACGGCGGGGGACACCAGAAATGGGCTTCGATTTTTTTGTGATGTTATTAAGAAGACGATGCCCGTTAGCTATGTACCTTGACGTACTGCACGTAATAATAAAGCGTGTTGAGATGAGATCACCGTACCTTGACGTACTACACGAAATAATGGAGCGTGTCTAACGAATAAGAGCATTGGACGGTGACGTACTACTCGTACTAATGCAGCGTCTGTAATGAATGAAAGCATCGTATCTTGACGTACTACACGTACTAATGGAATGTCTGTAATGAATGAGAGCCCCGTACCTTGACGTACTACACGTACTAATGGAGTGTCTGTAACGAATGAGAGCACTGCACGGTGACGTACTAAACGTATAAATGGAGTGTCTGTAACGAATGAGAGCACCGTATCTTAATGTACTAGACCCAACGATGGTGTGTGTAGCCTATGAGAGCACCGTACCTCGACGTACAGCAGGCAATGTAGAATCATGTATTCCCCCGGGTATGATGAACAGAATAGAAGCAAAATATCTGTATATGAATAGAACAGAAACAGGTTATCTGTTTGATGAACATAATAGACACAGGCTATGTATGTGGAGAACAGAATAGAAACAGGCTACCCGTATGGTGAACAGAAAAGAAGCAAGCTATCTGTATGTGAATAGAATAGAAACAGGCAAACTGCATGATTAATAGAATAGAAACAGTTTACCTGTATGTGAACAGAATAGCAACAGTTTACCTGTATGTGAACAGAATAGAAACAGTTTACCTGTATGTGAACAGAATAGAAACAAACTATGTGTGGGTACGTTCATACAAGCACCATTCAGTGTGCCCTATAGGCAGCGATTCATATGAAGGTTGACTTCAGTGCCCGAGGGCCGTCAGGGCACATACTTCCAACATATCTCCTTGGTGTTCTTGTACGGCCTGTGTGAACACTCTAACGTGTAATTTCACTGTTTTCGAACATTGCGTACCTTGTTAAGACGCGGTCTTACAAAACAGACATCTTGTATCGTAACACCTCATAGAACCTCCGATTGAGATCAGGATAACGCTGCTCGCGGCGAATCACAAGGTGTTAATGAAAGTGCTGGCTCGGTCCTGTCTATCGCAGTGATAAAATCTGTTAAAAAATATATTTTTTAAAATGTGCATTTTCATACCTGACAAGAGCCGACCGTGCTAGTCACAGGTTGAGCGGTATTTTAGAATTGCATGGTGTTTCCGTTGCAGGATTACCATGACTTCACAGTCGCTCAAATAAACGTCAATTGACTCAGATGATAATGACATGCAAGATGATACAGTCTTGTTCAGTAGAAACCTGTTTTTGTACCATAGTGGAAGCCTGTGTGTGCGGACACCGCAGTTATAAGTTTGTCAGACAATAAACGCAAATCGTTGTTTTCCAAGACATATATTGATGTGTGAGAGGCAAAACAAGTTTCATTCATTATGTATGGACGTAACAAAGTAACTTCTTAATCAAATGACAGTGATGTGTACATACATTTATAGCGAAGTACAAATACGTTGACAGAGGGTGCTTCTAAACACGTACACTTATTACGTAGCACGAACATGATAATGCACGTACGATTATAGCAAATATGTCAGTTCTCTGTCCACCATTAAACTTATTTCAAATTTCACGCCGATACATTTCGTCTCGCCTCCAGGGCTTCCTCAAAGACCTGATCCTCGTTCCCGGGGCAGACGCCGTGGCCAAAGTCTGTCCCCCCAGACGACAGCGCCGGATGGACAACACAGTCACGACGTTCCCACACGCATACGAACAGTCGCCATTCTGGCCACAGAAGGTTGAGTGCTCGTGGAGTGACGTTGGCAACCTCGCTTTCGATGTATACTCCGACAAGGTCAAGGTCTGTGTGAATGGAATCTGGAAGGAGGTGCACATCCAGACGGGTGAGGCTGTTGTTAGGCTGGTGTGTCCAACAGTGTGTAGATGTAAGCATCACATAATGTAAAACCGAAGTTTCTGAAAGGTATCAAGCACTGATGAACTAAAGGGTTTCGCTAGAAAGTTATTATTCCATTTCCACATAAAAAAACTTCAGTAAGAAATGAGTAACCGCCGTAACAGAATCGGTTTGCACTGATTTTGATCTGCGGTATTTCATTGTTGAAATGTAATGCATAATACTCACCAAACAATGTATGGATCAGAGCAAAGTATAATGCTGTACGATTACCGTGGCACCTGTATGGTGCTGTACGATTACCGTGGAAACTGTATGAAATGTACGAGTACCGTGACACCTGTATGATTATGTACGATTATTGTGACACCTGTATGATTATGTACGATTATTGTGACACCTGTATGATTATGTACGATTACCGTGACACCTCCATCATATGTATGAGTACCGTGACACCTGTATGATTATGTACGATTATTGTGACACCTGTATGGTGATGTACGATTATTGTGACACCTGTATGATTATGTACGATTATTGTGACACCTGTATGATTATGTACGATTATTGTGACACCTGTATGATTATGTACGATTACCGTGACACCTGTTTTATGCTGAATGATTGACACTTGTATGATGCTGACAGGTAAGAAGAAGCTGGATTACCTAGAGGCTTACCACGACGTCAAGACGCCAGCCGCCTCCATTGACGTGGAGGTGTTCACGCTGCCGGGGGAAGGGCTGTTCGCAGTGTTCGCCGGGCAGGCAGGGAAGGGGGACTCCGCGTTGTTCAAGTGGGTGGAGAATCAGTTCACCTTCTACCAGAAGCTGGAGACGGAGGCAGCTCAGAGTTGGTGCCACTTTACGATCAAGAATCAAGTAAGGGCAGATAACTCATGCTTGTTTCCAAATCTTTTACTGGCCCCAGGAGACCATTTTAGTTCTAGACTCGTCACTGTTACTTCTATTGCCATTCAATGAATATTTGGCCGGGCATGAATGCAAAGTTTAATAGCGTCGTTTAGATTTCTTGAACAAAATCTCTCCATGATCCATAACTTCAGAGCAAGGAATGGTGTAACCAGTGTGTGAAATAGTTTCCAAATATGGCTAGCCAGTCGGGCTAGCTATGCCTGAAAGTTACTAACACAAAAAATAATTTATTAGCCCCAAATTTGAATGTAGAAATTAACCAAAATATTACAAAAAGGTAACATACCATCATTCATCAGGCCATAATTTTGCATGATTTAAAAGTGTATTATAACTTAACAAGTCGGAGAGAGTGATACATTTAAAAAATGAACCCATGAAAATTCACTAGCCAGTCGGGCCAGTCACTGTGGAGATTTAGTGGCCCGACTGGAATTTTACTAGCCACGGGCTAGCGGGCCAGTTACTATTTCGCACACTAAGTGTAATTAATACACAATGCCATTAAGAAAGTGTAGAAAGGTGTCAAATGTACCATATGTTATATTTGGGATTACACTCTCTTAGTAAAGTACAGATTCTAGTAGTGAGTCCCATCGCCAGCACTCAACGTCAGACGCCTAACCCACTCAGTCAGAGAAAGTGTAATCCCAAATAAAACATATGTTAATATTGTCATTGTCGAATTTTACACGAAGTTAGTCGATGTCACTTGGCAATGTACTAATAAGTGTTACATATAAATATTTACGTTAATCAGGAATTTTACCTCTGGTGTTTACCCAATGCATAGCCGTCATCTCCCACGTGAGGAGCGTCACTGGGCGACAGCTTCACGCTCTACTAAGACAATCCAGCTTCACGCTCTACTAAGACAATCCAGCTTCACGCTCTACTAAGACAATCCAGTGCGTGGCATATTTATTTGATTTTCAGTTTTTCCTTGCAGTGGCGAACTACGGCAGTTCCCCCGACCACGCCTCCAACTCCACCGTCTACAGGTGGCACAAGAAGAGGAAAAAGTTCAAGCCATATCAGACATTCGTCACGTGGACGGCACGCGACTTTGAATACTTTAAGATTGACGGCCAACACTACCTCGCCGTCGCCAACCACGCTCAAGGTCAGTGAAGTTGCCAAGGAGGAATATCTTATACTTAAAGAAATCACGATGTTTCCTTGCTTTCATAATTACACAATTGTACAGATAAGGGAAACTCATAACTGATACTCGCACGTCTTAAATTATAAGAGTGAGTCAGTGACGAGTGAGTATGGTTTTACGCCGCTTTTAGGAATATTCCAGCACTATCACGGCGGGGAACACCAGAAATGGGCTTCACACATTGTACCCATGTGGGGAATCCCGTCGGGTCCTCGGCGTGACGAGCGAACGCTTTAACCACTTTAGGCTACCCCACCGCCCCTAAATTATAAGAGTGAGTGAGTGAGTTTAGTTTTACGCCGCACTCAGCAATATTACAGCTATATGGCGGCGGTCTGTAAATAATCGAGTCTGGACCAGACAATCCAGTGATCAACAGCGTGAGCATCTATCTGCGCAATTGGGAACCGATAGAGCCTGACCACCCGATCCCGTTAGTCGCCTCTTACGACAAGCATAGTCGCCTTTTGTGGCAAGCATGGGTTGCTGAAGACCTATTCTACCCCGGATCTTCACATGTCGCTAAATTATAAGAAGTAAATTCTTGTAATATGAGGTAATGGTTGTACGCTAGATAATTTCAAGCTCTCGCGTTACGTGGACATGATTTCCTAGTTGGCATGACCCAGGTCATTCCTAACGCCTCCATATTATTGGTGTAAAGTGGGACAAAACTGATTTGCAGACAAGTCAGAATCTTAAGTAGGTGAGTTGGTTTTGGTGGGGAAGAAAATGAAACCCGTGTTTAGGCGTGACATACGAACACGTTACCCACTCAGCTACCCTACTCTTGGTAGTATTAGATCAGATGACATGCGAGCGAAGGTTGGGTGAAGATAGGTTATCACATTGGACGTCGCTTGATACAAATGGCAGTAAATGATGCACGTCACCGTCTCCCATTTACTTCGTCCGATCCTCATGATGCTGATCACTGAATTGTCTGGTCCAGACCTGTCATGTAGCTGGAATATTGCAATTTCACATCAGCGTCTTTACATCGTCAGTAACATCCTGCGCTTCTTCACAGGCGACAACACAATGGTAGATTCTGTCATCTACAAGTGGGACTTCAACCATCGCAACTTCACGGAGTTCCAGTCAATCATGACGGTCGGAGCCTATGACTGGACACACTTCGTTGTCAACGACTTCCACTTCATCGCTATTGCCAACGCGTTCAACGGCCTTACCACCCTCATCGACTCGGTCATCTACTTTTGGCAAAACGATCGGTTCGTTCAGTTCCAGACAATGGAGGTAGGGCCACAGGGTTGAACTTGTTAGTACTGGGTAGTGCTTGGTAGTATATGGTAGTATTAGATACTGGTGGTGAGTGTTTCGTAGTACTGGGTAGTACTGTATAGTACTAGGTAGTGCTGGGTAGTGCTAGGTAGTACTGGGTAGTGCTAGGTAGTACTTGGTAGTACTGGGTAGTGCTGGGTAGTGCTAGGTAGTGCTAGGTAGTACTGGGTAGTGCTAGGTAGTACTGGGTAATGCTAGGTAGTACTGGGTAATGCTAGGTAGTACTGGGTAGTGCTAGGTAGTACTGGGTAGTGCTAGGTAGTACTGGGTAGTGCTAGGTAGTACTAGGTCGTACTGGGTAGTGGTAGATAGTACTGGATAGTTCTTGTAGTGCTTGGTAGTGCTTGGTAGTACTGGGTCGTGCTGGATTGTACTTGGTAGTGCTGGGTAGTGGTAGGTGATGCTGGGTAGTGGTAGGTGATGCTGGGTAGTGTTGGGCGTGGCTTGACTTGAATTATAAACTTTTATCATTAGATGGTTATTTTATGTCGCTTCAACCAGTTCTAAAAGTTCCAAAGGGGCAATCACGACTGAGAAGTTTACTATCAATGCTTTGAAAGAATGAGTCCAATTCAGTGTAATTCTGCATTCTGTAGTAGGATTTCCATCTGATTTCATTTCCTCCTATGTCTTTGCTTAACAGACTAACGGTGCCACCGATTGGGAGTTCTTCAGTATCCATGGTGACCACTTCCTGGTTGTAGCCAACGCCTACAACTACGGCCCACAGAACTACAAAGACGTGGACACCTACTACACCAACTCAACCATCTACAGACTCAACAAGCAGAAGAGAGTGTTTGAGAAGTTCCAGATTGTCCCCACATACAGGTGCGTGTCTATATGTCCTGTCTGATGATAGTTCCACATACAGGTGCGTGTCTACTGTCCTGTATAATGATAGTTCCACATACAGGTGCGTGTCTATATGTCCTGTATAATGATAGTTCCACATACAGGTGCGTGTCTATATGTCCTGTATCATGATAGTTCCACATACAGGTGCGTGTCTATATGTCCTGTATCATGATAGTTCCACATACAGGTGCGTGTCTATATGTCCTGTATCATGATAGTTCCACATACAGGTGCGTGTCTATATGTCCTGTATCATGATAGTTCCACATACAGGTGTGTCTATGTGTCTATATGTCCTGTATCATGATAGTTCCACATACAGGTGCGTGTCTATATGTCCTGTATCATACAGGTGCGTGTCTATATGTCCTGTATCATCCACATGATAGTCCTGTATTCCACATACAGGTGCGTGTCTATATGTCCTGTATCATGATAGTTCCACATACAGGTGCGTGTCTATATGTCCTGTATCATGATAGTTCCACATACAGGTGCGTGTCTATATGTCCTGTATCATGATAGTTCCACATACAGGTGCGTGTCTATATGTCCTGTATCATGATAGTTCCACATACAGGTGCGTGTCTATATGTCCTGTATCATGATAGTTCCACATACAGGTGCGTGTCTATATGTCCTGTATCATGATAGTTCCACATACAGGTGCGTGTGTCTATATGTCCTGTATCATGATAGTTCCACATACAGGTGCGTGTCTATATGTCCTGTATCATGATAGTTCCACATACAGGTGCGTGTCTATATGTCCTGTATCATGATAGTTCCACATACAGGTGCGTGTCTATATGTCCTGTATCATGATAGTTCCACATACAGGTGCGTGTCTATATGTCCTGTATCATGATAGTTCCACATACAGGTGTGTGTCTATATGTCCTGTATCATGTTCCACATACAGGTGCGTGTCCATGCGTTCTGTCTCATGTTAGTTCCACATACAGGTGCGTGTGAAAGTCATACTGGGTGTTTTATGTTTCAGTGCAATAGACTGGGAGTATGTCCGTATTGGGGGTGACCACTACTTGGTGGTGTCCAACGCCCAGAACGGGGGCGAGGGGGACGAGCTGGCGAGCGTGGTGTACAGGTGGCAGGGGCTGGACATGTTCGTCCCCGTACACTCGCTCAAGACGCTGCCGTCGGCAGACTGGGAGACGTTCACGATTGGGGAGGACATCTATCTCATATACGCCAATGCAAAGGAATCTACCTCACAGGTCATAAAGGTCAAGTTCACGTAGGCATGAATATTCACGAGTAGAAGTGTCAAATTACAAGAAATTGTTCCACGACTCATTAGTGGGACGCATCAACTTAACAAAGGATCATGACGGAGTTGATTGACAGAAAAAACAGCGTCCATTTGCATCAGTTATAACAGTGAGCTACTTCTTGCATAGACTGTTCACTGTTTATCACACAAACCATTCATCATCTAAACTGTTTAATGCACTAACCTTTCAAGTGTTCGCATCATTAGTTCCATGTTTAAATAACAATATACTGTGTGTTGTACCAACTGTGCACTGCTGCAATACTGTCGTACTGCATGAATCATGTGCTGCATCAACTGTGCGCTGCATCAACCATGTGCTACATCAACTGTGCATCAAGTGTATGCTACATCAACTGTGCGCTGCATCAAGTATGTGCCATGTGCTACATCAACTGTGTGCTACTAACTTACACTGCTAAGTCAACTGTCCCCTGCATCAATTATGCACTGCATCAACAGTATGCTGCATCAGCTATACGCTGCATCAAGCATGTGCTACATCAACTGTGCGCTGCATCAAGTTACACTGCTGAGTCAACTGTCTGCCGCATCAACTTTGCTCTGCGTCAACTGTGAACTGTATCAATCATGTGCTGCATCAACTGTGTGCTACAGATTTGCATTTGTTGAAACCTATAATTTAGCCTCCCTGAAATGATGAGGTTTGTGATGCTATAGCAACACCATACACACTCCCGCAGTCAAATAACACTATGATATCATGTGATATATACTGGAATGTTATCTATTTAATATATCCCCCTGGACCTAGTGCTGATAATCACGTTATACACCACGTTATCTTGACGTCGTTTACTCTGTATTGTATATGTTTCTGTTGTTCCTATATATTATGTTGGTATGTTAAGTATATGTGGCCGATGTAGTGTCTCTCCATGTGTCCGATCAGTGTTAATCTTAGACATGTCTCTCGTGTCGTGTGTGATGTCCACAGTTCATACCTTCACAGCAGAAGTGACTGTTATTTATGACACCTGCGTATCTGCCCATTGATTGATGTTGATTGTCTGAATGTATCGTGTAGTAAAGTGAATAAAGAAAAAGATGTGATTTGTCTGCATTGCAAACATACACTCATTGAAGGACACCCGAACCCCTTCGTTGACAACATGGACACTTCCGGTTTATGTAGGGGTCAGCAACCCATGCTTGTCCTCTTGATTCATGTCAATCTCAATTGTATGACGTCAGTCCCCGGATTGCTTGTTCCCGACTGGAGTATTGCAGATTGACGTCATACAGCTGGAGTATTGCTGTGTTCGGCATTACACAACAAAGAAACAATCATGAAAATGAATTGTCTATATTTTCCCAAATGCCACCAACATAACATCCTCTGAAATATCGTAACACGACTTGTAACATATGTTATATTTGGGGTTACACTTTCTTAGTAATTAAGTACAAATTCTACGTACTTTTTGGGGGTTGAGTCAATCACACACGAACTCCCAGAGAGAGTCAGGCACCAATTGCCAGTACACAAAGTCGGCCACTTCCACGTGGAAGCCGATGTGTCTGAGCGGGGTTAGGCTGCTCTTTGTACATAAATACAATCTAATTGCCACTTGGTTTTCAAATAATGATTGTTGTGACTGTATGAACAACTACTGACGACCACATCAGTACTTAGTTTTGCCGCCCCCTTACGGATACCATCTGCCAGTCTCCTCTCCATACTGGCAATAGAGGCGACTTTTCAGCATCGGAACCCTTTTCAATGAGTGGCAGCGTCAGTTCCTGCAGATTTTAAACAGGAGGAACTCCCAGGTGCAGTCATGGATCGGACTGCAATCCTACGAAATGCAACTCCACACCACCAATGAGCCACACCAAACGGATCAGCCGCACGGATCATCCTCTGGTGATGTGCCTTGTTATGACGTCTCCATACGGGCCGTCGGTAACGAGTAGAGGATACCAACTTTCATCAGACCAATGAACCCTATTAGATCAGATCTCCAGCTAGCTAGCTAGCAACATAAAGGAGATGGGTCTAACGGAGGTATAGCAAGATGTATGTCATGTTCTGAAGTTGCGGTTTTCACCTCGCCGTCAGACCAGCAGTCCGTAGCCTCCTTCTTTTAGTAGTGGTGGAGATTCGGACAATGTATGGATATCTATTAATGAGACCACCATTTGCACCTCCCAATGGGTTAGCGCAGTCTACATCATATCTATCTTTGAAGCTGAGCTGAGACTATAGGAATGATTGGTGGACAGAATTAGTTTCATTAAGGAAAATCTTTTGTAACTATACACATTGGTGGAACTGGTGATGAGTGTATCTTTGAGTCCACTTGTGAGAATATAGGATATATGAAGCCATTATTCTTGTTACTATAACGATCCCTTCTAACCAGAACACCTTCAAGGGATGTTTTTCTCTGACTTTCTTTGTCCTTTGCCTAATGTTTGCGAGACTCACTCTGGGTTCGCCATTGCTTCCTGACTGTGCTTCATCTTGTTGCTTTCTCCAATGATGTCATTTCTATTTATAACCTAGTGAATGGTACACCTATTATTATGAACTGGGAAACCCACAATTCCTAATGGAACTGGCTCTAAAAGAAAACCACGGCCGCTCCGAGATATTGCTAATTGAGTGTAAAGAGAAACTCACACTAGTGGTGTTCCGATTAATTTAAATAATCGAAGATTGGCCGCAGTGACCAAATGACCAAGCAATCGATCACATTTTCTCTTAATCGAACACAAACGATTTTGGAACTACTATTTTAGTGTTTGAAACACTTGGCGATGGAACATATCTTAGAAGTTGTCAGGACCTGAAAACGTGTTTAATTCTTAGAAAACTCAGTTCACTTGCTGAAAAGTCATGACTGCATATTTTGTGAAGACTCTGGGAAGTTTTTCTCCATCATATATTAGTCGCCACTTTAAAAGAGCAAGTTGCATCATTTTACACTGGATGTGAAATTTGCGCAGTTTCTAAATGAAACAAAAACAACAGATAACCACACGTTACACCTATCGTCATTAACAACCTGAACATTAAAATCTGAAAAAATGACGCTAACCAAGTTTTTCGATGATTGCTGGTTGGTAATGAACCAATCATCAATTGTGAGATTTCAACCAATTCTCAACACCAACTCACACACACTCCGGTTGGACATGCTCTTTTTGTGAGGTGTGACAAAAACATGACATTCAGTTCATTTTCTGCTGATGATGCAGGCATATACAATATCACCGCAATGGAGGGGCAATGTAGATGTTGGTTTTAGTTTTATATTATACAGCTAGGTTTATATACTAACTGTGGACTCAAGAGATTGATTCAGCACTTCTAAAGATTGTATCTGGATATATAACGGAGACAATGAATGCAGAGGTGGGATTTTACAGTCGCATCAGTAATTGTTGTACGTACGCTTCAGTAACTATTGGCCACGTTCATTAAATGTATGAGTGAGTGAGTTCAGTTTTACGCCGCCTTTAGCAATATTCCAGCAATAGCACGGCGGCGGACACCAGAAATGGGCTTCACTCATTTTATCCAAGTTGGGAATCGAACCCGGGTCTTCGGCGTGACGAGCGAACGCTTTAACCAATAGGCTACCCCACCGCCTCATTAAATGTATGACATTGTCCTCAACTAGAAAAAAGCATAGCCTGAGTTTTTGTGTGGGACGTGACATGAACAACACATATGAACTCATGACAAACCCACGGAGAGAGAATACTTACACATATTGCCTTGAAACATCTGGCCACACCTGAAACAGACCAAAATGTTAAATATAGACTTCGCGAACAAGGGAATGGATGCATCAAACCTGATTAACATTCTCAGACAAAAATCGGTTTCCAAAAAAGACCGACAATATATCGATTTGCAATTATCACTGATTTTCTCATTTTTCTTCTTTTTCTGTATGCTTAAAACTGTGCATGCTCATTAATAAAGATTGAAAGTGTTCCTCTCGACAAGACTGCATAACACGATAGATGACTTCAACCTTCCAACTGTCAACATTCTGCTTGTGTAATATTCCACTAGCTCCAGTAAAGCTTCAAACAAAGACAGGGGAGGGCATTCCAAATCTGACACATCAGTGACAACAATTATGTACGAAGCCATTCCCTATTCATTCTCTTCCCACAGAGGTTACTCCTGTCATATCTTCCTGCTTAACCTCTGTTCTAATACGGCCATATTTCCCGTTTCTCGTAAAATCCCCTAGCGGCAAAATATCGCAACACGAATTATCTCCCTTCTTTCTATCCAATCAGAACACGTGTTACATCGACTTAGATTCAACATGACTAACACAATAGGAAGATTTTGACTTGCACAATATGTTTCCGTGTTTTTCAGGTGAACAAATGACAAGCCTTTATGTGAGCTTCCAACGAGTACCACCGGACGCCTTTCCGCAAACATCAGGTAGCATTAATGTTTGACGTTGATTTATAAACACATGCTCATGATACAACTTTCTTGTGGTTGTGGAGAGTGTTGTTGTTATTTGTTACCTATTGTCATCAGGAAAACAACGGCCAGGAATAACAGATCAAGACATTACGTGTTACATGACGAAATGAGGCGACCAGCATCTTCAGGTAATGTATGGCACCTCGAGGTCATGGATGAAAAGAGTGTCTGGAAACAAGTCATCACATGTAACCTTTAATAGTGCTGTATATGGTTCACATTTAACATCTCGCCTTCTCGGGAGGACCTGACATTGATATTGTGGTCTGTTGCCATGGAGGAAGCAAGGGAGGGTCATCAAACGTAGCAATGTCACTAGGGGAGGGTCATGAGAGAGTGAGTGAGTGAGTGAGTATTGTTTTACACCGCTTTTAGCAATATCACGGCGGGGGTCTCCAGAAATGGGCCTCACACATTATACCCATGTGGGGAATTGAACCCGGGTCTTCAGCGTGACGAGCGAAAGCTGTAACCACTAGGCTACCCCACCGCCCCTTATGAGAGAGAGAGAGAGACACACACACACACACGCAGACGCGTAACAAGTTCCTCGGTATGGTCTATGTGTCTTTACGCTACCTTCCAACTGCGACCGCCTTGCTGTACATCCACATCATTCTGGGGCGGATCCAAGATTTTGGAGGGTTATCTCCCATTCAACAGACAGTCAACTGACAGACACTGAACTAGAAGGTTAATTAGGGTAACACCTACAGGTATAATGGAACAGTCCACTGTCCAGTGAGTAGAGAAGGGTGTGCCTGAAACAGGCTCGTTACTCAGAGTTTGTGTGTAAATAGAACTTGTGATTAAATGATAATCTGTCTTCTCTTCTCAATATTATTTTTGCTATCAATTATTATCGAATATAAAAACAGGTTTGTCACTGATAGGTTTGATTGTGTTTATGGATTGAAACATTTGATGCATTCAAGAAAAGATTGGACACAACTTATCCAATTTAGAAAAGCCCTCTCCCAATAATAGGATATATACAACTGAAGTTAACTGAGAGATATAGATAAATGGCATTGTGTAATCATAGATTAATGAGACCCGCATTGCCATGTAAGATAAGATTAATACCAATCAATGTTCTAATGTTAACAATACTTTGTAAAGATTGTAACAGTTTAGTTTGATTAGTATACAATGGACATTCAAGGAAGTAATGAAAAACATTCTCACATCCATGGCCACATTGACATGATGCGTCATTTTTTATATTTATTCTAAATATATCATAATTAAGTGTATCTTAACCTTGTGTGCAAAACATTTAACTTTCTTAAGCTTATTCCATATGAATAGTATTTAGGTGCACACTTTTCTTTCACGTGGATATAAGAATAAATGATGCAACAGAGTCGCAATTTCTAATAGCTATGGGAATATTATTCCATATTTTAACTGCTGATGGAATAAAAGATGATGTTGAGTACCTCAGTCTTGTACATGGTTGGCTAAAATTATTGGAGTTTCTTAACTCATAGCTTGTCCGGTTGCCTACTACAGGTGGGAGGAAATCTGTTTAGTAAGAACTTTAATTTGTGAAATGCTCCAATCATTTTAGATGTCTTTTTGACAATGTTTTCAATATGATAATGCCAACTCCCGTTAGACGAGAAGGTTAAACTCAAATGTTTATGAAAATCAACTTTAATATCTTTTTGGCCAACTTGCAAAGTAAATAATATAGCTTCAGTTTTCTTCTTGCGTTTTTATTTGGACTATTCCATTATAATGTGTAGGTAACGGGTAGTGGCTAATCTGTTCATTGAACCGTAAATGTTGTTGTTTTAAGGCGTCTGCGAACTGCCTGTCTGCGTAATGGGAGGACACCTTTTGGAGAAGTTGTGTGTGTGTGCACACATGTCGTAAAGTCCAAAGCTTAGGTGGAAATGCTCCTGAGCAAGAGAAAGTCAGTACAAGGTATGAGATAAGAGCTAGGTGATGTCATCGACACGAGGACATTTGACGAATGGTGTATGTGGTGTATGTTGTTTTTCAGGACTGAAAATGAGGCTTATTACGTGGCCACATGTTGCGGTCCTGGAGGATCCGTCACGTGAAGCACCAAGTTGACCAACCCTGTACGACTTGGACAGGGATGATTATCCTACGTCTGCGTCATGACTTAGTTGGTAGAGCAACGTCAACTTGGAAATTGATGACTTTGGCGTGAACTTTGGTGAGCTGGAGTCTAGTGCTGGAAGTTTTGTTTTTAAAATATTTTTTATAACAAACGATACACTTCTAACTAAGCACCCATTTTGTTGCAGTTTCTGTGTTAAAGACCATTGTAATACTGTGGCTCTATTTGAAGTCGCCACACGAACCATCTACAGCTATTTCCTGTCGGGGACAATGTCAGTCGGCGTGGAATCATACTCACTCACTATCCCGAATTACTTTAATCCCTTCCTGAATCTACTGACTCACTGTACCTGACATTAGCCATATTGACATTCTGTCTAGACATACTAGTTGCCTGATGACCAACCGTTGTTCCTCCAAAGACCAGGGGATGAGTGTGTGATGTACCTGTCATCGCCTAGCTGTAAAAACAAGGTCCCAGGGCGTCATTACATAACGTCATCCGGATGTAGCATCCGGTCACATGTCACCCGAGACGCATGCGTCATCTAGGATCCCACCTAAGCTGTGAACACACACTGCCAGTGATGTTGAACATCAGCGTGTTACGCTGCGTTACGCTGAACACAGGATGAATGGATGAAGATGTGAAGGGGTGACTGACTGATGGAAATTTGCATGAGTACATAGAGGTCAATGGCCCAAATGATCGAAAACGAAGTAATTGATTTTACGAAAGACAACATATTATTTGGTTTGGCAGATTACCATTTATATGTGTAGCCAGTATAAAGCCAGTACCTAAAGGTTTTATTAAGATTCGGGTCTAATATGGATAAGATTCGGCTAAATATTCGGGATAGGGTGCTTGGAAGATACGGGTAAAGTACTGGAAAGATACGGGTGATGTACTGGGAAGATACGGGTGATGTACTGGAAAGATACGGGATAAGTACTGGAAAGATACGGGTGATGTGCTGGGAAGATACGGGTGATGTACTGGGGGATGATACGGGAAGATACGGGTGATGTGCTGGGAAGATACGGTGATGATGTGCTGGTGCTGGGAGGTGATAGATGCTGGGAAGATACGGGTGATGATGATGATGTGCTGGGAAGATACGGGTGATGTGCTGGGAAGATACGGGTGATGTGCTGGGAAGATACGGGCGATGATGTGGGTGATGTGCTGGGAAGATACGGGTGATGTGCTGGGAAGATGCGGGTGATGTGCTGGGAAGATACGGGTGATGTGCTGGGAAGATGCGGGTGATGTGCTGGGAAGATGCGGGTGATGTGCTGGGAAGATACGGGTGAATGTGTGCTGGGAAGATACGGGTGATGTGCTGGGAAGATGCGGGTGATGTGCTGGGAAGATCTGTGCTGGGAAGATCCGGATGATGTGCTGGGAAGATGCAGGTGATGTGCTGGGAAGATGCGGGTGATGTGCTGGGAAGATGCGGGTGATGTGCTGGGAAGATACGGGTGATGTGCTGGGAAGATACGGGTGATGTGCTGGGAAGATACGGGTGATGTGGTGGTGTACTGGAAAGATGCGAGTGATGTGCTGGGAAGATGCGGGTGATGTGCTGGGAAGATACGGGTGATGTGCTGGGAAGATGCGGGTGATGTGCTGGGAAGATGCGGGTGATGTGCTGGGAAGATACGGGTGATGTGCTGGGAAGATGCGGGTGATGTGCTGGGAAGATACGGGTGATGTGCTAGGAAGATGCGGGTCATGTGCTGGTAAGATACGGGTGATGTGTTGGGAAGATACGGGTGGTGTGCTGGGAAGATGCGGGTGATGTGCTGGGAAGATACGGGTGGTGTACTGGGAAGATACGGGTGGTGTGCTGGGAAGATACGGGTGATGTCTACCTGCTGTAGATAGTCAGTTACGATATGTGCACGGTGTGCACTTGGTGGTAGTGTCAAGTGACCCTAACATGGACAACATGCAGTGGTCATGTTGATACCGCTTCACGGCATTACAAACCCATCCCCATGTTGCCTTATGTTGATGCGTACAATACGTTAGTTAAGGCGGCTCCAAATACGTACTCGCAGATCCAGAAAGACCAGATTTGACAACGGATGGACAGCACGTGTCACAGAACATACAGATTAGCTACATGCTCTAGTCGCCTGGCCAGTAACGTGGCCCCAATCGTCTTCAAAGGTTTACTTTCATGCAAGACAAATTTGTTGCAGAGCTTCAGTTGATGTGTGAAACTTCGCCGAAACCTGGAAATGGAGTTTCGGAAGCTAGCCATACGTCATGATTATATTGCAGTGTTAAGGCCAGGTACTGCGACCATGTACATTCATAGTACATTTTGCAACTGAATGAAAGTTATTAAACAAATTGTTTGCATCAATTAGAGAACAGTTTGTATCATTTAACCTTTAGCGTTCATTGGCCTTTGTGTCTGTCAGCTTGACCTATCCCGAGCACCAGGCATCTATCTCTGCCCACATATCCCCCAACACATGGTTAGCTGACACCCCTTCACATTGTAAGTCACGATTCCCAACCTGTACAGACCATCGTGGCAGCTCATCCTGTTTGACGGCGTGACACGGGAACCGGTTCGTCCGACCTGCGTAAAGCAGCACCATGCGGACCCAGACAAACCGGTTTGTGAAGAAAGCGAGAACGTTTGATGTTGGTTGAGTCGTCAGAGGATTGATGAACCGTCACTATCTGTTACGCGGAATTTCATATCCGAAGTTGTCTGAAAATTCATTTAACATAGGATTAGTATTATAAGTTTTATTACACTCTTTAAAAAAAAGACACGCATGAGCCATTTTAGTAGAATTTATTGCCTTAGTTTAAGAGCAATTATTTCATGCAATTTCAATCTTTAAAAGGTGAAAATTCACAGGTCTACAGACAAAGACTTCACCAAAACAACAACAGCCTCATTGTTGTACTTCTGTTTACGTGAGTCCACAAGGTGGCATCAAAGTCAGTAATTTGTATGGCAACCATTGGCAGCAATTACTGCTAGGAACCGTCTCGGCACAGACTGGATAACTCGACGAAGTCGCTCTTGCAGAATTCTTCCCCCTTTCTTCTTGCAATGTGATGACCTGTTGTGGAAGTGTCTGAGGCGTGTTTCGACGTTGACGTACACGTCGATCGAGTTCGTCCCATAGGTGTACTATCGGGTTTAGATCTGGTGATCGGGAAGGCCATGGCAAGACATTGCCGTTAGAATTGGCAAGGTATGGAACCATGACGCGTTCTGGATGTGAAGAAGCAATGTCATGCTGGAACAACTCCCTCTGTCGGTCCATAATCGGAAGCATGTGACGTGCAAGGACTTCGTTGATGTATCGATTTGCTGTCAAATTCCCCTGAACCACCACTAAATCAGATCTTTGTGTGCAGGATGTCGCACCCGATGCGTTATGCAGACAGACAGACAGACAGATTTATTTCTGTAGTTCTAGGCCAAAGGCCCATAATACAAAATGCAGACACATTGGTACATCGCATTATACATGCTTGAGTGTATTAGATACCATGTATATAATGGATAAGACATTATGATATCAGATTTCCTTTTTACCTACTTTATGTGACAAGGGGAGACGTCCAAAACAAATTATTATGATTATGTTGTTGCATTATGTTGAATTACACATTTTAATATCAGATTTACTTATTACTTCCTTTATATGACAGAGGAAACGTACAAGGCAATTTGATGTATTTATGTCGGTACAAAAACTTAGCATAATAAAAATTTTAAGACAATAGTTAATATGGATTAGCCTGACAAAATTATCAAGACTGCAGTAACAGGTGCACAGGAAAGAAGGCATTCTTGTCAAATTTACATGTCTCTCATATGTCAACATATTGATACAAGTGCAGGCAAAGAGGTAACATCGTGTTGTAAATGCTTAACTATTGGTAATGTGAATAAAATAAATAAAACATTTTAATATCAGATTTACTTGTTGCTTTCTTTCTATGACAGAAGAAACGTATGAGGCAAGTTAATGTGTTTATGTTATTACAAGAAGTTAGCATTCTAAAATTTTCAAGACTGGTTAAAAGTGTATATGTCTAATATCTTCATATCTCTCATATATTAAGATATTGATACAGAAATGCAAGTACAATGGTAACATCATATTGTACATGGTTACGTATTAGTACTGTGACTATAATGAGTTACAGATTGTAATATCAGGTTTGCTTCTTACTTTCTTTATATGACGGAGGAAACGTCCAAGACAAGATAAAGTGTGTGTGTTGTTACAAGATTATCCCAATAAAGGTATCAAAACTGCGATTAGCAAGTGTACATGAAGGAAGGCATTCTTGTCTAATATCTTCATATCTCTCACATATTAAGAGAACATGGAATTCATCCTCCACTAAATGTAAGCCTTTAGTACAACAATAAGTACAAATCCTGTCAGCATAATTGATGTTTTTGTGCCTACCTAACTCAACCGCTAAACGGAAATTATTACACCTAAATTGGGAAATGACATGCTTGTAATAATATGGGATATCTACGCTTAAGTATCTTTCTACATTCAGCAATGACTTAAATTTACTATATACATTACACTTTGATGAATTGGATATTAAAGAATGCCAGTCTTGACATAGACTGTCATACAACCTTTGTTTGAAAGTAAACATAAATAAATATACATTACCTACATCTTGGGATAACCACACAATACCAAAACCCAACTGATACAGAATGTTTTTAACAGATGTGGCCCAAGTATTTCTACCAGCTTTATCCAATAACATAAGCATTTGATAACACTGATATGGCAACCTGTGAGTATTTAACTGAAGCAATCTACACCAATATTTGACACCTCTAGACATGTACTGATATTGTAGGGGAACTCTGCCTCATTCACCCAGCACCATAACATTGCTGGTATATTTACTAACTTTCAAAAACCTTTTACAGAAGTATATTTGCAAACTTTCTATATGTCTACAGTATGATGTGCCCCAGATCTCTGCTCCATAAGAAAGGATAGGACAAATAGTTGCATCAAAAATTTTGAATATATCTAAACTTGAAATTGCTCCAAATTTATTTTGATAGTTCTACAATGACATACAAGCTTTTTGTGCTTGAGCAGAAAGACAGCACTGAGCCTTAGTCCATGAGAGAGATGGTGTAAACACAACACCTAGGTATCTATATACATTTACTACTTTTATTTTCTTACCCTTAAAAAACCATTTCTCATAGTGGCGTAGAGGACCACCTTTACGAAAAACCATAATTTTTGTTTTACTCAAGTTTATACTCATGCCAGTATCATTACAAAATTGCTCGAGCACATTTATCTTCCTCTGCAACAGTACAGCTGTGTCAGATAAACACGACACATCATCTGCAAACAGGAGGGCTGCAACACTGGGGAATTCATTTGTAATAAAGATACCATTACCGCCATTGCAATCAACATTTGAGATAACTGATTTATAAAGATTACAAAAAGCAACGGACTCAAGATACAACCCTGACGGGTACCGATATTACAATTGAAATGCCTGGATAGGCCCTGATCTGTCCCAACACAAGCAGATAGATTTGAATACATAGAGACAATTAGATTAAGAACTTTCCCTTTAATTCCCATGTTGATTAGACTTTTAAGTAATACTTCATGGTCAACACTATCAAAGGCTTTTTTAAAGTCTACAAATATACAGTACACTCTACCACCCTTTTTTGATAAATAATTTTGTATCATCGCTTGTAAACAGAATATCTGGTCCACCGTTGAGTAGTTTGGCCGAAAACCGGCCTGGGTTTCAGACAAGACAGAGTTTATATCACACCAGCGTTGAAGTCTACTTTTAAGAATAGCACAAAGCACTTTACAGAATGAGTCAATAAAAGATATTCCTCTATAGTTATCCGTCACATGGATACTGTTAGATTTGTGAATGGGACAGATTATACTAGTGCCCCACTGTTTGGGGAATGTTCCATTGTTCAACAAAGAGTTGAATATTCTTGTTAGGAGAGGTGTTAAGTTATTTTTAGTTGCTTTAAGTAATTCACTTTGCAAGCCATCTGGTCCGGGTGACTTATTGAGTTTAAGATTCTTTAGCCCCAAGAGTACTTCCTCCTCTGAGAAGGGTCTGTTTATACAACTGTCAGATACCACTTCTGTATTTTGGTCAACAAAATGTAATGTTGAATAATCAAGAGTAACATTTTGCATGAAGACCAGGTGCTCCAAGTGGTCACACCAATCATCCTGACTAATGTTTGTAGATAGTGAGTTGGGTTTTTTCCCCCTTCTGAGAACTTTCCAAAAGGATCTGGGATTATTTCTAGAATTAACCAGTAACATTTTTTGTTGATTAAAGTATTCTTGTCTATTTGTCTATGCAGCCTCCACGGATGTGGCAAGACGATGACGCAGGAGAGCAACCTGGTGTATATACCATATTCTTCCTGAATCTTGTCAGTCACATATGGTTGACTGGGGAAATTCAATGCCATAAATGATTTCATTGGATTTATCAAAAACGATAAAGTCAGGTTGTTGTCCTGGATACGTCTGATTCTAATTAAAAAGAATATTTTCTTTGCTCAAGAATATTTTTATGCAAAATAAATCCCACTTTGACGGGGAAGTGAGCAGCAAAGAGACACATTGGTCGTTCAGAAAGCCTTCTCTGGGTTGCTCTTCTTCTCAACAAGCTACAGATAAGCTACACATTGGTCGTTCAGAAAGCCTTCTCTGGGTTGCTCTTCTTCTCAACAAGCTACAGATAAGCTACACATTGGTCGTTCAGAAAGCCTTCTCTGGGTTGCTCTTCTTCTCAACAAGCTACAGATAAGCTACACATTGGTCGTTCAGAAAGCCTTCTCTCGGTTGATCTTCTTCTCAACAAACTACAGATACACTACACATTGGTCGTTCAGAAAGTCTTCCGTCGAAAACCCGAGTTTGTGCCATTTGATACGACACTTAGCTAGGGTGACATTCATTTGTGTACCTTCCTGCAAGTACCATGAAGTATATCAACTCAGATTATGTTCTGAATATTTAGCTCATTTAGCAAAACTGTGGAAGGAAATGTTTTCATTAGGTGATGTGCCATGCTTCACAAGAATACCATCAAAGAAATAGCATCTAGTGCACACCATTACTGGGTCGTGAATATCCTACATGTTAATCGAACCACCCCCTCCAACCATGATACTTCGTGTAAGGGTGTTAGTACCCCGATTTCCTTGTTTCGCCCAGACAACAACGCCAAACAAATAGGAAAGGACGGGCACAGCGTAAGTATTTCTGGCTGTAACTTTAGTGTGAGCATTTCATCTCTATACACCATTAAGTCTGAATACACTTGTATTGTGGGCGAAGATTTTCTTTTCCCTGGCATTCTTTAGTTTGATCCAAACCTGCAGCCCCATGTTCGTATAGACCGGGCTACTTGTTGTTGCTGCTGTTGTTGTTATTGCTATTTGTGTTATTGATTTTTGTCCGCAATTTTGTTATTTGTGTTCACACGAGATCCTGCCTTCCACTGTAGTCGCCCAGAACTATGTTCTCTGTATTCCTGGTTGTCATTGTTACGAAATGAAAGCAAATGTCAAATCAAACCATATAGCACAAAGCAGGGAGTGTCGGCTAGCAGATTCACTTCTCAGATGTAAACAGAATGTACAATGTTATAACTAAAGTGATATTCAAAGCGGTGTTAGAACCAAGTCGCTCGCTGATCTGCAAGAAACAAAGAACACGTCCGTCCCTGTCGCCGTGTGTACTGTGTGAACTATTGTGTCATTGTTTCAGGTGGCAATCACCGTGACAGACTGTCTGGGAACATGCTTCACACGCCGGGGTTTATCAGTTGAGATTAATCAGTTTACTCATTCGGACACTTGGTGAACATGTGAAAAATGGATGTTGACAGGACTTGCACGATGTGTGGTTTTACTGCAATCCTCGCAGCTTGTACTGCAGGAACTCGGAGCTTGTCGTAAGAACAGGCCAGTGACAATCGGCTGTGTTGACAATGCATTATCTGACGGGTTGTGGGTTGGATCGCAGCCAACATGTTTGTTATAGTGTTTCATACTGTACCAGTAGGGTAATAATCTCCTTGCAGGGTGTTGTGGTAAAGCTGGAAGCTGTCATTACCTTGGGTTCGAATCCCAGTTTCACGATTATGTTTCCCGTCAGCAGCATACCTTTGTTCGTTGGTTTCACCCACAGTGATACATTTCCGATCGCTAGTTGGAAGGTTGTTCAAAACGGCATGAAATACGACAAAGTCACTTACACATGCGGTGACGTGGCCTACGACCATTTTACCGTTACAATAAAAAAATCAAGAACGACTGACTTTGGCGACTACACGACATGAAAGAGCAGGACATTTGAAAACTTTCTGTAGCGTTTACCCAAAATAAATATATTTTTAAAGGACTGGGTATACACTTAGGAGATAAACATACTGTGTTGGAAAATCAGAGGTATATAACGAAATTATAATAGCTCTAAATTTGATTTAAAACCGGACGAGTAGCGTGAAGTTTTGAATAAAAGAATTATAGCTATTATAATTTCGTTATATACCTCTGATTTTCCAACACAGTATGTTTATCTTCGTTCTACCATAACCGTGTTATTAAGATTTAAAGGGGCGGTGGGGTAGCCTGAGTGGTTAAAGCGTTGGCTCGTCACGCCGAAGACCCGG